AATTTTTTCCCGGAATTATCCCACATTCGATATTGAAATTCCAAGAAAGTGTGTGGCATATAATATAAGAAATGTATGGCTATGCGATCGAACCTGATGCAGCGGTGTTAAACCGTCTTCATTATGCGAATTCGGATTCGCTCCATCCAATAGTAATCGCTCCACTGAAACAATTCGATTTTACTCAAACGACAACATCGTAATTTGTGGGTGCTCAATTTGCAGATGTATCCGATTCGTCATGAGATCAGTGCATTATTCAGCCTTTGCATGAGAATTTTTTAGTTATATTTGATAGAAATGAACAAATGATGTGCCATTACTTTTATCACTCTGTGTTGAAGCTTTATCTGGTTATCTCAGATGAACATTTTTTGAAGTGCTGATGAACGAAATCATTTTCATTGCATACAATGAGCAATGCAAACAAATCAAAGTAAATAAACTTATCTCAACAATAAATTCAATATGAAAATCACACAGTGAAAAGAGTGTATTGTTGTAAATTGTCAAGAATGTCATTTGTGTGTGTTTGTCCTTTCGACAAACAGTTTAACTGGACACTTCAAAAGATTAATATTTTCGTTTTTTTTTTCGCTTATTGCTAAGAATTGGAATATTATATGATAGAACACAGCGTACGTAGAGATATTTTAAAATTTTGAAGTAATATTGTTGTGATAAGCTGTGAAGAAGCGCTCAGATACTCGTTTTCAACAATGATAGGAATGAGGATAGAGATAATAATGATAGCAATAATCACTTGGTCACCAAAGTATAATTATTGTTATTATTATCATCATTATTCTTCTTTATTATTGTAGAGATAAGCCTAAATCAAACTTGATTGAATTTGCTAAATGGTGGTCAATCAGTGGAATGTAAATCATTTCGATCATCAACAAAAAATTCTAGTTGTGCGCATGGCATGGAATGCATATGTTTCATTTCAATTTCAAGGAAACCTCCCAAGATGTTGTTGTTTGAAACGAGATTCAGCATATGTTGCCTTGAGTTGAGCAATTAAAGCCGATTGAAATGAGGTTAAAAGTCAATGGGAACAGGCACTGAACAATGAATCTTGCACATAAAAACTTGTTGTGCCGCACACAACCTGTCAACTAATAGCATTGCCCACGCGGAAACATTCTCACTTACAACACAACACAATATTATAGAAAATCTTGAATTTTGACAGCATCTCAGAACAGAACTGGCTGTGTCAGTGCCGGAAAAAATTTGTAGCATTTGAAGAATTTCTCCAGTTTGTGAAACTGAAAGAAAAACGAACAAAGCAGAAAAATGCAAAATTGACCTTCAGCTGCATCTGCTCGGCTTGTGGCCTCCAAAAGGGCAACTTCGGCACTAAATTTGAGACGTGGTCTCCGAGGCGGAGGTGGTGCCATTTGCTTTTCACGTTCATCGCACTTTTTCAGTTGTAACCTTCGTCGTTCCCTGTAAGCAACGATTCGACTGTATAATCAGCGATACAATAAATAACACCTGTTAGAATTATCGTATCATATAGAATTGATATCTTCTTCATCAAGCTACGACTACAGTTCTTTCCAAAGATAACCTAGACCAAAGGGTACTGATGGATCGTAGATGATCAGATACATAGACGAACGGCAAACATTGCAATTCGAAAACGATAGAATTTGATGCAAATATTCAAATAAGACAACATTACTTAGCAATTTTGCATGTGACAATGAAATTTTTTTTGAGAGAGATATATTAATATGAAAGGAATTGGGAACAAATTACACGCTACTAATATGCAATTATATGCTATTAAAGTATTTTTTCGATGCGTTTTCGGTGATTGAAAGATTAACAAATTCCCACGAGGAGAACAATTAAACGTCATTTTAAATCGCAAAATGCTTCAACAAAACCGTATAATTTTAAAAAGAGTTCCATGACCTCATATGAAATAAACGGGTAGCTCGATGCATATCTCATTCGTATGCATTCGGTTTTTGCAGAATGCAAAACTCACGTCAATTATATAATTCAACAAAATTTTGGAAGTTTCATCAGCTTCAACTTTTGCACGCCGCCGTGAAACTCTTTCAGAGCCCAATGTGCTGNGCATTCAAAAGATATGGACTAAGAAATAAAACGCAGTTACTCAGAATCACTTCAAGAATATCACTGCATTGAAAGAAGTTACTTTATATTATTTAGAGGATCACTCAACTGCTGAAGTCTCAGATGAGGTTCAAAGTTTACGTGACTTTTTGAATTTGTTCCATGAGTTTTCAATTTGTTTCAAAAATTGCTGAATTCGTTACATCTCTAAGTGATCATTTCAGTTGTTGGTTTATGTGTATTTAACTTGATGCAGCATTTTTTGCAGTTTAGTTCAATTGGTAATTGGTAAATAAACATCCATTTGGATGATTAAGACGAAGAAAGTGATGACAAAAATGCAGAAAATGACATAATATTATACGATGAGGTGTGATGCGACGACCATCGAAGGCATCTTACAGCTCTAGGAACGAAGGCATTCAATGCAAATTAAATCGATTATTTGTTTGCGGTGACTCGATTCGCGCGATACGAAACAATTTCTTTCAATTTATTCGACATTTCGTCGTCTATTTGAGAAATTAAAAATCCGGTTTTTTAAATTTTCATACTGCGATTGTGCTGCTGCTGCTGCTGAACGATCGCTGAACGCCAGCAAATAATTTCTGATTTGAATTGTATTCATTGATTTTGAACAAATTATAAAACATGCTATCCTCTGCTCTCCCTTCGTTGCATCACAAGAATATCGCCGCGTTCGTCCCTCTTTTCACTTGTTCCACTCACTCACTTGCAGAGTATAAAAGTTTTCACTTGATTTCGTTCAATTGAATTTCTTCATCGCATGACTTGATCCGTACGATTAGCAGCAATTCGATTATGTGCAGTTCAACGGAGATATTCTTATTCTGCGGCTGCGGTCTTGTCAAGTTGAACAGCAGCAGCAGCAGTAGAATGTCAGTTGTTGATCAATTGCAGAGCGCAACAAAACGCACTTCAAAAAATGAACATCCAAACGGTGACTTGAACATTCTCTCGCTTCAAATGGTTCAACCAAAAAAAA